TAGGTAAACAGCCTCTGTGCAGCGTGTGCTTGTGTTGTGGGTGTGGGAGTGTGCTTTTGCTATTGACTCACCAGGAGGGCACTGTGTACCCTGGATAGATCTGCCCGCTGGTTATTTAAAAGTCTCGAGCTCGGGGGGGGGGCGGGGGTTTGGGGTGTCCAAGCACGGTGCGTGCAGGTGGGCGGCCGCGGCGACCTCCGGTGACCCTTCCTGCCCCTTCCTGCCAGGTGTTCCTGTTCCAGCTGCTGCGCGGCCTGGCCTACTGCCACCGGCGCAAGGTCCTGCACCGCGACCTCAAGCCGCAGAACCTGCTGATCGGCGACCGGGGCGAGCTGAAGCTGGCCGACTTCGGTGAGAGCCGTGGGGGGGTTAGCCCCTGGGGGCCGGCCTGTTCCCGGGTTCCCCCTCTCTGCTGGACCCCCGCAACAGAACAGGTCCAAACGCCTCTTCTAGATGTTGGAGAGAAGGCTGCCCGGCCCCTCCTGCCTGTAACTTAGTTTTGTGGGGCTGTTAAACGTACTGATCCCAGGGTCTTATCCAGCTTTAGTGACGTGGCTGGGCAGCTTGGCCCAGGCCCCTGCAGCTCTTTGTATACAGCCAGTATACATTGTCCAAAGGCAACTCCTGTGACCAGTGTTCAGTGCACCTCCTTATAGTTTCCACCAGTGTCCTCTGTTTTCATGGTTGTACGTATATGAAAACCCCTACTGTTCACTGAGTATTCAGTACACTCCTCGAATGAAGTGATTACTACTCTACCTGGCAGATATAGACATACCCTCTGCATGCCTGCTGTTTACAGACCGTGCACCAGGGGTCTGTAGCACATGACACAGGGTGTAGCATCACCAAAGAGACTGATGAGGAAAACCGACGCAAAATGTCGCTCACAAATAGTCAAAAAACGGAAAGCTTTAGTTCTGAATCCTAGTTCGTGATCCTCTGAACTCGGGATGCGGCTGGAGATATTCGGATGTGTCCTGCAGTGGCAGTCGGGCGTCGGGCAGTGTTTGTGCCTCTGGCTCGCAGGACTGTGCAGGTCTGGTCATGGCTGGTAGAATTTCACTCTGGAGATTGTTATCCTCTCGTGAGGAGGCTGCCACGTTTGTTTAGGCGCATCTGTGTCTGCAGTTTGCATTCCAGTATTGCAGGTTCAGGCTAGAAATCGCCTGGATAATTGAAATTGGACACGCCTGCATGTTGACCTCTCCTGCTGGTGTATCTCTGCGGTTACGAATACGGGATGCCTGGGCGTCTGTTTGCATTTGTAATACAGAAATCTGTATTTATCATCACGAGCTTGGTAGTTTTAATATCTTTTTTAGAAACGTTTACTCCGAGATGCCCTCTCTCAGATATCTTCTTTTGTTGTCGTTGTCTTGCTACCGATTTTGTCCCAGGTTTGGCCCGGGCCAAGTCCGTCCCCACGAAGACGTACTCCAATGAGGTCGTGACCCTGTGGTACCGCCCCCCCGACGTCCTGCTGGGCTCCACGGAGTACTCCACCCCCATCGACATGTGGTGAGGCCCCTGCCCGCGTGGCACAGTGCCCGCGGCCCCCTGCCCTCTCCCCAG